TCATGGGCGAAACTAGGCCTAAACCGAAATTGCCTAAATGCCTAAACTATGGGTTAGTTTCGGCCACCATCACTAGTTGAAGGTAAGAATTATGATATATTCTCAGCAAACCTATACTTATAATTTAAATATTTTCTAGCCACGAACCTTCCAAGTCAATACCTTCTCCCAGAAATCAGTTGTGATGTTCTCAAAGAGGAAATTTTTGATGTTGACAAGCTTAATACTTCAGACGTATATGTAATGCAGTTCTATATGTCTCTACACAGAGTTGTCAAGAATTTAGGTGTCGATATAGGTACAGAGGAATCTAAGACCGACTCATAGTAAATCATATGTTAACTCACACACTTGGATTTGATGGATGGCCATTTGGTGTTAGGTAAACAATAATAAATGTCTTTGCTCATGATGTACTCTAATTAATTCTTAAGTTTGTCATCATACTTTAAATTTAGAATCAAAGAAAACTACAAATTGACCATTAGGGATAAGAAAGTATCAGCAAATCCTGATTTTGTAGTGTATATGAAAGAAATTGCTATGATAGTCACAGAGGTTTGTATGTTTTGATTGCTTGACAATTCCACATTTCATCAACTCCAAATTTTGACAACTCAAAATCTTTTAACAGGATAAACATTTGAAAAATGTCTCGCTTCCTGACTATGGAGAAGCACAAATACTTGCTGAGATACTTGCTTGTGGATGGGAAAATTTGGATCAATCTGGGAAATATATCAATCAGACTATTTATGCAATCCGTGTCATCTCATCATATGTGACATTTTATAAGGCTGAAATTCCTATAATGTATTGGAAAGAACTCAAGAGAGGCTTACCACGAAAACAAATGATTAAGATTTTAAGATGGCCAGGAGAAAATAATAAAGAATCTGGTCTAGATTTGGCAATACCAAAAGATAGGCATGCAGTATTTGAAGCAATAACCAAAATTCGCCAATCTCTTTTGCAATCTGCATCCTCCACAACCACTTCTACCTCTCACATTGTTACCAGCATCACAGCACTTACAGAGCAAGAAAACTTCTGAAATAAAAAAAAATAAGTTTGTCTAATAGGAAAAAAATATAAGCTTTGTCTATAATGTTACCAGAATTAGGATTTAATGCTAATTTGTTAGTCGAAATCAGTGTTGAAATTTCAGCGGGAGGGTGTAACGTTACACATATCAAAACCATAGGATTTAAACCTATTTTAGTTTATTTTGATATGTGTAATGTTACACCCTCCCGCTGAAATTTCAACACTGGTCGAAATACCCTAATTCCGAACCAAATCTTTTATTTCTATTTTTATTATTCCTTATATTTTATTTTCTTATTTTTATTCATATTTACTTACATTTTTATTATTTTATTGTATTACATTCGTATAATGTCAAAATTAGTTAGCTTTATTTAGAAATTAGCATTGCAGTTAGAATGTTACGTCGCAATTAAAGTGTGGTATTGTGGCTAGAATGTTAGATTGCAATGAAGTTGTTACTAATTAATTTAATTGTATAAAAGAAGCTCAAATTCGACTTGCTT